AATGCAGTAAATAAATAAATAAATAAAATTATTCGTTCAGTCACTTCTGACTCTTCATCGCCTCATGGACCAGCCCACACCAGAGCTTCCTGTCAGCCAGCCACTTCAAGGATACCATCCATCCATCTTGCCCTTGGTCAGACCCTCCTTCTTTTTCCTTCCATTTTCCCCAGCATCATTGTCTTTTCTAAGCTATCCTGCCTTCTCATGATGTGACCGAAGTACTTCATCTTTGCCTCTAATATCCTTCCCTCCAATGAGCAGTTGGGCTTTATTTCCTGAAGTATGGACTGGTTGGAGCTTCTCGCAGTCCAAGGCACTCTCAGAATTTTCCTCCAGTACTATAGGAGCAATATATTCTAACCAAAATAAATGGCCAACTGTCAAATTGTATAGAAACACAAAAAGGAAAAGACAAGATTGCCCATTGTCACCTCTTTTGTTTATTTGGATGTCAGAAGTATTAATTATTACGATCAGAGAAGATAGTCATATCAAAGAAGTGAAAATAAAAGGGCAAGAATTTAAAATTAAGGCATATGCAGATGACATGGTGGTCATTACAGAAGATCCTGTAAAGAGTACAGTGTTCCCTTGATGTTTTGCTGGTTGGCCAGGGCCGGCTTCCGAACCTCACCCCGGCAGCCTTTGCAGGGCTGCCTTGGGCCTCCGCAGGGCTCCATGGCCTCCGCAAGAGATCACATGGGTAAATCTGGGGAAATATTTTCCCCATGTGCTGGGCTGTATCTTATACAAATGTGTGCTTTTTCTGTTCCTGTTCTTTACTGCTTGTTGGAAACTCAGAAGAGACAGCATCAGTCTAACCATTCCCTGGAAGATGTTCCATAGTTGGGATGCTGCTACAGATAAAGCCCTATCAGGTGTATTCAGCAGCCTACCCTCATGGTGTGGTGGGATATGATATCTTGGCCTCAAGCTATTTATATACATATTTTCTCTCAACTCAGATATGGCACTCTGTTCCCCACATACCACCATCTCACCAGCATCCCCTTGCTGTGTCATTGCATAATGAAACTGGCAAGATAAATTACATGACATCCTCATTTATGCAGATACTGGACTAGTTGTGCACCAATTACGTTATTCCAGAAGCAAAACACCTGCATGCTTTTATGTAGGTTGACACTAATTTTTCTTTTTATTTTAAGACAATGAAAATAAAGAGTCAACATTTTTGCTGGTTTTGAGTAAATACCAATTATATTTTTGCCACACCTATACACTTTTTCCCAGCATAGGAGTTTTATACATCTATATCTGTATATCACTGTTTAAGACAAGTATATGTGAGTTTAGATAGTAGACCAAAGATTAGGTGTGGATTTGTGTAAGCACATGAGACAAATGTATAAAAAGAGAAAGTTACAATTCTCAGGGTCCTTCCAGACAGGCCCAAAACACAGGACCTGTCATGGGTTTACCTGGGGTACCCAAATGATGCCTCAGGTAAACCCAAATTAATCTGGAGTAAACTGGAATTTCCCTGGAAAGATCCGGCTCTTCATATAAAGTCTGGATCTTTCTTGGATCACTTCCCTCCCCGCCCCAACCTCCCAACATATCATTTTGATGCGCCAAGAGCTTTTGTTACAGGGGCTTGAGCATGAAGCTAGGCCCCTCAGGTAACTTTTAGGGGTAAATGGCGGGCTAGCTTCATGCTCTTCAATGGTTTACCCCCCTCCCTTTGGAAAGCCTAGATGTTGGGGTAGGTGTGAGGCCTCAATCCCAGGAGGAATTGAGATAAAATATCCCTGGGATTAAGGCCTGTCTAGAATGGCTCTCGGTTCATGTATGTGTGTGTGTGGGTGGGGGTTAAAATTAAGTTTGGGAAAACTAGGAAACTTGGATGGGTTTTTTTTAGATGAGACCAGACAGCTAAGACAAGTTTGCAGTTCAGACACAGACCCATGAGATTAAGCAGGTATAAAATACTTTGGTACTAGAAAATACATCTACACTTTAGAATTCATGAAGTTTGACCCCACTTTATCATGTTTCAATGATGCATAATTGTAGTTTATTTATGTATTTATTTACTTTATTTATACCCTGCCTTTTCCCCCTCAGGGATCTGCCGAATGGTCAGGGATCCCGTCTTGTGAGTACAAGTTCATCTTGTTTATTTCCTATGCACTATACATTAGTGTAGGAATTAAAGACCATGGATCATATTCCTTAGATACTTTTTGAAGGATTCCAACTCCTTCAGTTGTACTATTCATCCGGTTTTCTCTTTATAACAGCTGGGCTATTATTTTCAGTACTTGATGAACTCTTACTATCAGGAGTACTGTCTCCCTCCCCTATATAACCCATTTTATAGCCTACATTGATAACTACATTGATAAAAGAATGGATTTCATATTCTATTGTGAGGTTTGCAGATTAGAATGGAAGTTGGAATGTGTCAAGGAGGTGGCCAAAAGTTTGTGTAAGTCTTGCAGAGACACTGTACCTTCCAATTGTCTCAGTTTGCAGGGAGTGTTCCAATTAATTCCCAGTCACCCCACTTTTCCAACTGCCTTCAAAGTGTTCCAGTTCCTCTCTCCTTCTTTCATTTTTCGACCTTATCCTCAGTTTGGAGGACTTGGTCAAATGTGTTCCAGTTTTGATCTGTGAAACACTGGCGGGTTTGAGCTACATATTCTTAATTGTCAGTTACAAATGGCATAAGTAGCAAGTAAATTTCTTCAGTATAGTCTCTTAACATGTGGTTTTATTTAAAAAGAACTGAGGCAGTGTCGAGAAAGCATTTAGTGATAAAACCTGTAAAGACAGGTTGAAGCTGAAGCTACTTTGTGATGAAAGTATACAGTCAGTATTTGAACAGAGGTACAATGCTGAATTATTTTCAATACAAAATAGAAGATTAAAAATTTTAACTAGCAGATCCATTTTATGTAGGAGCAGGCTGATTCTCCAGTAGAAATGTCACTAGAATGTCATTGTGATTAAGTAATGCCTTTTCTGGAAGGAAAGAAAGAAAGAAAGAAGAAAGAGAGGGAATACACACTTTGAAATCATATATTTGTTTGGCTGTCTTTATGTACTGTTTTATAATCCCACAGATCACTTATGATGGTTTCTCATGATAAGATCACTTTCAAGTTTAGAATGTGGTACAGGAATTATTCTAGTCGATCTTCTTATCCTGACTCACCCCTTCTGTTAGCCATTGTGACAATGGCTAACAACAGTGTTAGTGATGCTTTGAAGCCACTTCAGGCTTAAGTCTGATCTTTAAATGAGCTATCCAAACTGCTGGCCTCCTGCACCATAGATTGCCCTTTAACATTCAGGCGAATTTTAAAGTTTAGCTCAGACATGAAAGCTGCAAGCATTACTGCCTGCTAAAAACCTGCTCAGCTCATGGTGGAAATTAATCTTATGTTAGGAACTATCCTTTAAAACAGCGATTCTTAACCTGTGGGCCGTGGACCACCAGTGGGCCACAAGGACAAAAATCTGGTCCGTGAACTTCCTTCCTCTTTATTTTGTTTTGTTTCTGCTCCTTTTGTGCTGCCTGCCACTCCTTCCCTGTTGCTGACCATGGCATTTGTTCTGTATCAGAAACTAGAGCTGATGTAATCTAGCCAATGTAATTTTCTGAATCAGTACCCCAAGCTGAAACTGAAGTTGACCAAAAACTGATTTGTAATTCTTTTGGTACTAATGTTGGAGAGTGGACCCTGCTCAAAAAAAGGTTGGGAGCCACTGCTTTAAAGTAATATTTCTTAGTTCAAATTTGTGGGTGGGATGGCCCAAGCCAGAAATATCATACCATAAATATCACAGGATAATTTTGCCATTAAATATTATTTTGTAGGCTTCTGGTATCCACTGGGGTTTTGTTCCAGGAGCCCAATGGATACCAAACTCCATGGATGATTGTGTTCCACTATATACTATGGTGTAGTAAAATGGTGTTCCTTATATAAAGAGGCAAATCCAAAGCCTGTCTTTTGAATTGTTATTGTTATTGTTTTGAGTCTGTGAATAATTGTATCTATGGATGCAGAATCCATGGATACAGATGGCTGACTATACCTTATACAGCACAGAGTTATTTTGCTGTTGCTGTTTTCAAAAGAAATAACTAACTTCTTCACACTATCTTATAAAACACAAGATAATTTACAGCTATGAAGAATAATAACTGGTAGCCCTAGGACTATGAAGGGACTCTAGGTTAAGATTTTTCTGTATCTATAATTGATATTATTATTTTTTTAAAAACTTGATCCTGATGTCACCTATTTAAAAATTAAAACACAGACAGAACACACACAACCTGGCATCCAAATAGCCGCATCCCAGTCATGAATGGGCTGACGTGTACATTATTCCTGTGTGACTATTTGTAAAACTAACTTGTGGGTTCACTCTCTTACCTTAAACTACTTAGCATTTTGGAAGCAACTCTAAGGAAACTCGGTGACTACTTGTATAGACTTTCATTGCTCCTTGTTCAATAGACTGAACACCATTCTATTTTTGATGCTGAGCATGTAATGGCTCTCCATGCAGTCATGCTGGCCACATGACCTTGGAGGCATCTACGGACAACACCGGCTCTTCAGCTTAGAAATGGAGATGAGCACCAACCCCCAGAGTCGGACGTGACTGGACTTAATGTCAGGGGAAAACCTTTACCTTTACCTTTACCTTTACCATGTACTAGGGAAACAATAACAGATAACAATTTTAATTTATCTCAAGCCTCTACTGGAGCACAGCCATGGCTCTTGCACAATGTATCATGCACACACAGAAAGGTTTCTTCCACTAATTAATTTGGTTTCTTGTCCAACTATTCAGTGAGTAACATGCTGGTTTATCCAGTTCCAGGATGGAATAAGAAAAAGGACGCAATGCTGAAGGTTTCCTCCCTGATCATGCTGTACGGTAATGAAACAGAGAGGAGGAGCAGGAGAGAATCCAGGGCTGTTTTGAAAGAGATTGCCTGGGGCGCAACACACTGCAGGTTGTGTGGGATGGTGCAAAAGGTGCATATAAAGCAGTAGAGAAAGTTTTCCATCTGCACTTGGGCAGAACAGCAGGAGAATAGTGAGGTGGAAAACTCAAACCCAAAGGGCTCCTTTGGCAGAGAAAATGCCTCCCCAATCGGGTGCTAGTGTGGGAAAGCCAGAACCCGGTTCAGACGTTGGACAGTTTTTCACCTGGGGGGAGATAGAACTCCGCTCTGGCAAGGGTAAATCCAAGGAAGACAAATGGCTCGTCATCAATAGGAAAGTCTATGATGTTAGTCAGTTCTTCCGGCGGCACCCTGGAGGAATGAGTGTCATCAGTCACTATGCGGGACAAGATGCCACGGTGAGATCCTTTGGTGGGAGTTTGATCTGTTTGGAAGGACCCTAATCCTATCTTAGAGAATAGGTGTACTGTATGAGCATGGACCCAGGCTCATCTCCAGTAACCCTCAGGTAACCCTCAGGAGCAGATCTGGTAAAGGCCAGAAGAGCACTGCCAGTGCAGAAGCTATAGGCTATCTTGAGATAGCCTATACTATCTTAAGAAGTATGGACCACTTGTCTGACACTGTGTAAAAAAGCTTCACATGAATATAATGTCCCTGTGGAACTCTCTCCCTAAAGAAATTAGAACGGCTCCATCATGAATTCCTTAAAAAACAACAACATAAACCTATTTGTGTGAATTAGCTTACGGGGAGGAAGGAAAGTAGACTACCACCGATTCTACTTTGAGACATTACTGACAACAAGTAATTTTAAATTCCAGTGACCTATATATTGATATGTATTTTAATCTGTGTAATTTTGTCTTTTATTGTATGTTTTATATTATATGTCTTATATGATATTTTTATTGATTTACATTTAATTGTTTGTAAATTGTCTATTATGTTTTGTACTGGCACTGAATGTTTGCCATTTTTACTTTGGAAGCCGCCCTGAGTCCCCTTGGGGAGAGAGGGCGGGTTAAAAATAAAGTTTTACTATTGTTGTTGTTGTTGTTTAAAGTGTTCTAGGAATGTACAGAAAAGGGTTACTGTGTTTTAGAGTGATGGGAACAAACAGAAAAACCCATCTCAGGAGAAGAAGGGCCCCTCCACATAGCCCTATATCACAGAATATCAAGGCGGAAAATCCCACAATATCTGATTTGAACTGAGTTATCACACTTAGATAATGTGGGGTTTTCTGCCTTGATATTCTAGAATATAGGGCTGTGTGGAAGGAAGGGCCCCGAAGTCTGTTAAGAGAAAAAGTTGGGCTGTGTTTGGGCATAAATGAGTGGGCTCAATGTAGCATTGGGGAATAGCAGCTAACTAGCTATATATGTGCAAATGGTCAGGCTCTTTAATTCCTACTGCTTTCTATGGGATTTAAGCAGTGTGGCCATATGTCAGATTATGTCCTTGGGCTTGAAGGCCTATCCAAAACATTATCTGCTTTGAACCGGATTATATGGCAGGGTAGACTAAGATAATCCAGTTTAAATCAGATAATGTGGATTTTCTGCTTTGGTAGCCTGGATTATCTGGCAGTGTAGAAGGGGTCTAGAAGATAACTCAGTCTGGGCGTGTCTTCTTCATTATCATTAATGTATCGATTTTACCCATTTGGGGGGGGAGAGAGAATTTAAGTTAACACCAAATTAAAAATTTCATTGTTTTGAGTATTTGCACTGATACATACTCTTCAAACAGTAGATACGACTGTGTAATTTTGTTCTACAGTTTCTTCCATTTCTGGGATATATTTACAAGAAATGAAATATTATCATTTGTGGTGTGTTAAGTAAGGCTACTAGTACACCCATTTTGTGTACACGCCTCTAGAGATGAGGAGTAATTTGCAGAAGGGATGTTACATTTCAAATTCATTTTACTTCAGCTGTTGAGAAAATGACATTAATGTTAAAACAGTGATTTGTATCGGATCATCTCAGGTTTGATTGTTTTTCTTTAAAAGAAATACAGTGTAAAATGAACTCTGAATTGAGTTTGGCGGATTAAAATTTACAGATGTGAGTAGGTATACAATGTTGCTAGAAAAAAAGCAACATATGTATTCAAAATGGATTTGGTGGAATCTGATTTCAATTTGTACTCATTTGCAAATGGCACTTCCAACTTTGCATTTTGTCTGGAACCTCCTGTCTGTCTAGGAAGAAAACTCCAAAGGCACAGAGTAGAATTAGTGTACTTGCAGATGAAAGGACAACAATTTTTCCCTACTTACATACTTTGTGTGTGTTTTATATTGTATGTTCCTTCTCACCTTACCTGAGAAAGCATCACTTTGAGGACAGGGAAAAATTTCTTAGACTGTATTTTCACTGCCTTATATCCCAGAATTTGATCCCAGATTATTTCCTTTTTCCAGGTTATATGGCAGTATAGACTCAGATAATCCAGTACAAACTATATAATTTGGGATCAGATCCTGGAATATAGGGCAGTATAGATTCAACCTGAGCTTCTCTAATATTCTCTGCTATTTTGTTAAGAAGAAGAAAATACTGTTTTTTAAAGGGCACATCCACACTAATTGAAACCAACATTTTGTGCACTTTCTGATTTTATATTGAGTTGAAAAACAAACAAACTGGGGATCAAGTATAAAAAGTCTCTGATTGTTTGAGGAGCTGATTCTGGGATAGACAAAACTTGCATGTATCTGCAAGATAAACTCAAGTTGGATTTACACTATCCTATATTCCAGGATCTAATCCCAGATGATTTTCTTATCCCAGATTATCTGGCAGTGGAGATTGAGGGCTCTTCTACATATGCATTAAAACCTTAGAGGAAGCAGGTTAAAAGGGGGACAGTGGCTAAAATATGTTTAGCCAAAGTGCTGGAGGAATCAGGAGGAATCGGGTGAAGGGCTGGAAAATATATTTTAAAGGTGCCCTTTAAGCCTGATTCTGCCGGAGAAACACACAGCTTTCCATGCTTGTGTATCCCAGCAGTTGTGGAAAACCCATGCTTTCCTACATTCCTCCTGTACATTACTGAAAAGCCTGAAACAGCTGATCAACTGATCAGCTGTCAGAGACACAGGTGGCTCAGGGATGTACAAGTGGAAAGCAAATACAACTCTCTCAAATTCTGTCTTTTACACTTTGTAAAGTTAAACAGAGCTTGAATTAACAGTTAGAAAAAGACAGAGATCCAAGGGAAGTTTTTTTGGACCTCATATGCGCTGGACCTCATACGCACATATACACATCTCTGGAGAGATTTTTTTTTTAAAAAAAAAGCTTCCAGCGGATGTTTCCTGTTCATAGGCGCCTATGAATGGCAGTCCCATTCATATAGGGAAACCCAGCCTTTTATATTACAATGCTCACTAACCCCTCATACAGGAGAGCCTACATGCTGACTAGATTTAGTATTATGCCATCTCGCTCCATAGAGGAAGACTCAATGGTTTACCAAGCGATAAGAGGGTTTGTCCATGTGGCACAGGACAGCTGGATTCCATCCCGCATATTCTTCTGCACTGCCCACTTTACCAGGAACCAAGATCTAGCTTACTACCACACGTTATAGATTCCTTGAAAAACCACCTGTCTGTCTAGTGACCCAGACAAAGTAATTATGCTTTTAAACTGCCAAGATTATAACCATTGCCTTTCAGGGGCAAGGTTCCTGAATGAAGTCTGTAAACGAAACATGTAGCAAATGTGAAGTTTCCTTTTTATAATTTATACTGCATTTATACTGTCTTGTTATATATGCCAATAAAGGCCTGATTGGATTGGATGTTCCCTGTTCGCCCTCCATCTTAATCTACTTCAAAAAAAAAAAAAAGAAGAAGCTGTGAGGACAGTGGGACTATGCAGCAGGACAGATAGGTCTGTGTTTGGACTCCTTTTGTGGTCCCACATTTTAAAAACCCACTTCTTTGTCCCGTGTTTTAGTGCTGTCTGGAAGTGCCCTGAGGCCCCTTCTACACTGCCATATAATCTAGATTATCAAAGCAGATAATCCACATTAAATGAGTCTACACTACCATATAATCCAGTTCTAAGCAGATAATCTGGATTTTATATGGCAGTGTAGAAGGGGCCTTAGTTTGAGGACCTCTACACTAAACCATGCTCTCTCGTTACTATTCTCCTTTAAGGCATCACTAAGGCTGCCCTATATATCAGGATCTGATCCCAGATTATCTGGTTGTGTAAACTCATATAATCCAGTTCAAAGCAGATAATCTGGGATCTTATCCTGGGATATAGGGCGGTGTAGATCCAACCTAAATTGAACGGTCTCAAACAAATGGGATACAACAACTATGTCACATTTTATCAGAACTGAGGTGAAGCAACCTGCAAAATTAAAATGAGCAACATCAGTCTTGAAACTACTGGGAATAGGTTTGCCAAGCTTCATACATTCCTGTGCTTTTTTTTTGTAGAAGAGGGAATTACAATGGTGTTATTTACAATGTTTTTGTTTGCTCAACTGTTAAAAGATACAGGAATCCTGACCTGTATTTCATCTAGCAACCCTAGCAGTGTACCTAGTTACTAGCTACATTGCATGCAGGAGCAATAAGGCTTTGCCCCCCATAATAATTTTGTTCTGGTAAATGAAGGCCCCATCTACACTGCCATATCAAATCCAGATTATCTGCTTTGAACTGGATTACATCAATCTTTACACTGCCTCTAGAACATGGCCATATAGCCCGAAAAAACCCACAAGAACTGAGAATCTTTACACTGCCCTATAAAACAATCTTTACACTGCTAGCTACACTGCTAGGGTTGCTAGAGGAAGTACAGGTCAGGATTCTTGTACCTTTAACAGTTGTGCAAACAAAAACATTGGAAGCAACCCTCTTCTACAAACAAGCACAGGAATGTATGAAGCTTGGCAAGCCTACAAGGCAGTTGGTGCTGAAGTTATTCTAACTTTCTAGCATTGCAGAGAATGAGACACCGAAACTTGTTCACACCTCCCCTAGAACTCTTCTCTTTACTATGCATATGTTCTCCTGGGAACTGCAGGAACATTTCATTGGGTGAGGATGATTGAGAATTTTTATGAGGCAGACAGTACCTTCATTATGCACTGGTACAGCTATTGGCAAAATCCAGTATGGAACACACTGGAGCTGGATTTTCTTTGTTCTGAAGCAACAGAATCCATGCCTTTGCAGTGCCAAACTGTCTCAATAGTCTGTGGCTGGTTGGGAAGGATCCCCTGCCCCTGAATTGATCAAGATGTTTACATGCCAACCTTGGGAAAAGATGGATGGTATGGAAAGAGATGCAGATAAAGGAGAGGAGAGAAGAAGCATATGTTTGCATGTACAAATGTGCCTAGTAGAAAAATGTGAATTATTTGTGGATAATTTTGAAAACCCAAGTCAATAGGCTTGGCGGGGGGGGGGGGGGGGGGGCAGAAACCCAGAAAGAAGACACTGCCACTGATCGAGAGGATGAAATCATGGGACCTTCCAAAATCTATGTAGGGCAGATCTCATTTGTTTTATATGGCACCAATTGGCGGCACTGGGCATGAGAAGGACAGCTTTAAGGGAAGCCATTAATTAAGAAATGGTAATGGTGAAGCTAAAAGCAGGTGTCACCCAATGCACATGAGGATGGTGATGGTTATGATAGTTGCGACTTATCATTATCTAGCTTCCCCTCCTTAACAAATAAGCAACAAAGGATAATGACTAAACTGTTTCTGGCAACCTGTTTTGGCACTGCAGAAGGGAAGGCATGACTAGTACTAGATTTACCATTGTGGTTAGGTGTGCTTAAGCACAGGACCCCATTGGCTGGGGGGGGGGGGGGGTCCATGTTCCTGCCAAAAAAAGTTTTTAATGATGATTTTGCTTGTGTGGTGCAATTCTAAATTTGAAGGCATTATGTTTTTGAGTGATTCCAGACATAACAATAGATTGCTAGTCAAAGTAGGGAGTATGCCACAAAGTAGGCAGTGTGGGCCTACCAGGTCTGCCTCCTTCAGGGCCTCATAACGTAACTAACTAGCACAGGGCTTCATTTGTCCTAAATCTGGCACAGGGCATGGCAAGCAGAGGAATGTTTCTACCTTCCACGGAATGTCTATTCCACCACCCACGACCTCATTGCATACTTTTTTGTTAACACCTTGCAAAGATGTTACACTGCTATTTTGTTCTTTCCTTCCTTGGTGGCTTTTAAAAGCCCCCAAAGAAGGAGCCTCCATCACACTCTGAGGCAGAGAGTTCCACTGCTGAACAGCTCTCACAATTAGGAAGTTCTTCCTAATTTTCAGGTGGAATCTCCTTTCCTGTAATTTGAAGCCATTGTTCTGCATCCTAGTCTACAGGGCAAGCTTGTTTCTTCCTCCCTATGCCTTCCCCTCACATCTTTATCCATGGCTCTCATCATGTTTCTTCTCAGTTTTCTCTTCTGTAGGCTAAACATACCCAGCTCTTTAAGCCACTCCTCATAGGGCTTGTTCTCTAGACCCTTGATCATTTGAGCTCATATAAATCCAGGATAGCTCCTTTAAAGTTAATAATAATAAATAATAAAACTTTATTCATACCCCGCCACCATCTCCCATCTGGACTCAGGGCAGCTTACAAAATAGAACACAGAGATTTCATACATAAAATACATAATGCATAAAATAAAATACATCAACATGAAAACAATAATATATTACATAAACCAGGTGTATACATTGGATCAAAACAACCTCTATTAAAAATAGAATCAGTTAAAAGATGATGATGATGATAATAATAATAATAATAATAATAATAATAATAATAATGATAACAACACTTTATTTATATTCCGCCCTTCTTACCCCGAAGGGGACTCAGGGCGGATCACAGTACATATACACGGCAAACATTCAATGCCGCTTTGTATAGACAATACACAGATAGAACAGAACAGGAGGTGCCATGGAAGGTTGGGCTTGAGTCCAGGGAGTGCTGTTGCTCCATCCTCTATGACGAAGAGCCATCAGGACTTCCTCCATCCTTTTGGTCACCCAGCATTCTCTGATCTTCCTTCTTTATGGCGTCATAAAACACCTCCCCTGCTTTTTTAGCGGTACCTAATTTCTCTAATCGCAGATAAAGCTGTTTTTGAATTGCTTAGGTAAACAATGAGCTAGGGCTGACAGTTGGCCGCTCATGCCAACCCAGGGCTTTGAACTTGCAACCTTTTGGTTGAAAGATCTTATAATTGCTGATGATTTACCAGCTGTGCTAAACCTCCGGCAGCACCAATATAGCAGCACAGCTGAATTCACAGAATGTATATATAAAGTCCTAAGTGATTGACAATCAATTCTGGTTAGTGTCCAAATATTATAGAATGCCTACTAGAAAAACCAAATTTTTAATTCTTTCCTAAAGTGTTTTAGTGTAGGGGCTTGTCTAACTTCACTGGGGAGGGCATTCCAGAGCCAGGGGGTCACCACCAAGAAGTCCATCTCCCTTGTCCCCACCAACTGCACTAAAGACGGAGTTGGGACCAAGAGGAGAGTCTCCGTGGCAGATCTTAGACCCCGCACCAGTTCATAGGGGGAGATGTGGTCACAAAGAAAGGCTGGACATAAACTGTGTAGGGCTTTATAGGCAATAACCTGCACTTTGAATTGGGACCAGAAACTTACCAGCAGCCAGTGGAGCTGGTTCAATAAGGACATGGTATGCTCCCTAAAATTAGCCCCAGTTAGTAACCTGGCTGCTGATATTTGTTCACACTAAAACCCAGCAGAGATTAATGCCCTAGGGAGATGGAGCCACCAACCTGCACTGTTGCAGTGATACTATGAATCAGAAAGGTTACGTGTGCCTTTGGTGGTCATGTGGTGAGTTGATAGTAATTGTGGGGAAATTGGGACTATAGCTATTTAGGGGAAGCTTATCGATAGGGAAGAACACAAAATATAGGAAAGAAGGGGGGAAAGGAGTGAAAAGAAGCCAAAAAAGTAAAAAAAAATAATCAGTGATTTTTCCTTAACCAACAGTCCAAACTGTCTAAGAAACCACAATTTTAAAATTGCACACAGACACACATCATTGCATTTGTTCTATACAAATGAGTGAGGGCATACCTTAGAAATTGTGTTCTTGCTTCTGGATCAACCAGGATGTTCCATGGGTTGCTTAAAGAAAATTTGCCCCTGTCACTGCCAAAGTCTATATTATTTACTACCCGTCCCCTGCCATGCGTTGCTGTGGCCCACATGGGGGTTCTGTGTGGGAGGTTTGGCCCAATTCTATCATTGGTGGGGTTCAGAATGCTCTGTGATTGTAGGTGAACTATAAATCCCAGCAACTACAACTCCCAAATGTCAAGATTCTATTTCCCCCAAACTCCACCAGTGTTCACATTTGGGCATATTGAGTATTTGTGTAGAGTTTGGTCCAGATCCATCATTGTTTGAGTCCACAGTGATCTCTGGATGTAGGTGAACTACAACTCCACAACCAAAGAACACTGCCCACCAAATCCTTTGTGCCATATTTGGTTCAATTCCATTATTGGTGGTGTTCAGAATGCTCTTTGATTTTAGGTGAACTATAAATCCCAGCAACTACAACTCCCAAATGACAAACCAATCCCTCTTCAACCCCACGTATCGTGTCCAAATTTGGTGCCAATTGCCCCAGTGGTTTTTTAGTTCTGTGAATACCACAAACGAACATCACATTTTTATTTATATAGATTTCAGACATTTGTATCCCATCCTATCTCAACCTCCGCAGAGGGACTCAGGGTGGCTAACAACCTCAGGGCAGCTAAGCACATTGGTCTTCTACGTTTCACATGTTATGTTTTTGTCTGTTTCCTAGGATGCTTTTACAGCTTTCCACAAGAATGAGACTCTAGTGAAGAAATACATGAATTCGCTGCTAATTGGAGAACTGGCACCTGATCAATCCAGCTGTGAGCCCACCAAAAATGTAAGTTTAATTATTTCATCCCTTAAGTTGACTATTTGGGAGAGGAAATGGAAGAACAGATTTTCGTGTGAAAGATGAATTCCTGGGCTGAGCCATTTTAGTTTTGGAAATGTATTAAGCTGGGCCATTTGCTTAGAGTTACCTTGTTCCTTAATTCTATTCGGTACATACTTGTGTTGTGCCATTGGGGAACCACAAGGTTTCACCAATGAAGCAAAATAGATACTATAGTGTACCTAGTCCTGTCCTAAATTAACTAACATGTACTAGAAGTTCTGAAGAGTCTGGCTGTAGGATCCCCATTGTTATGGCACAGTTTCTGTCAAAATCTTTCAGCAATGAGTTTCCATGGAGGACTAAATGCTATCTTACATTGCTCTAGATTAGAGGAAAGCGCATCCCCAGAACAATTGCACTTTTCAAATGGAGCTGGAAGGAATAATTCTGCATCCAGCTGTCAAAAAAAAAAGACATTGGAAATGCTTTATGGAATCATCCAGAAGTTTGTGCAATGATCTAGATGAACCCTTGAATGTAATGATCCCTCTGCCTTGATCTTCAGTTCACTCACAGCCTAGCCACAACTGTTCACTCACACTCCTTTCTTTCCCCAGCAAGAAGCTTCAGATTAATGTGTCACAAGTTACACTTGAGACTAGTAGATTCCATCAACCATGAGTACATAAACTGCCCTAGGTGTTCTTTCTTTATGTCCTCCAAGCTGTAAAAAGGCTGTTATTTATATTCTCACCTTGCTTGTGAACATCTCATAAACATCTGAGGATTGTGGAAAACAAGATCCTGGACCTGTCAGGGTCGGCATCTTTTAATGTTCTGAAGCAACATGAGTTGTATCTCCCATGAAGATGCAGCCTAGCAATTGTTATTTCTCCATAGGAAATGCTCATCAGTGACTTCCGTGAGCTACACGATTCAGTGAAGAAGACAGACCTCCTGAAGACCAGTTATCCTTTCTTCATCTTCATGTTTCTCCATGCTTTCTTGCTGGACATTGCAGCCTGGCTTATCATCTGGTACTTTGGATATTCTTGGAGAACTTTCCTTGCCGGTGTTGCAGCATTTACCATAGCACAGGTAATAGAGCTTTACACATGGTGTAATAGTATTCCAACACTACTCTTCCACCCTCTAGTTCTTTAAAACATTTCCTCTAACCATTCAGTTTGTAGCAGTGAAATTTCAGTCTTTTTTTAATACACAAACGTGTGACACGTGTGACACTGACTTGTGTGTGTTCACCTTGAGTATGTACTGTCTGCACTGGCTTATATCCATGTTCTAGGGGTCTTTCCTTAACTAAACAAATGAGATCGTTGAATGCAAATCAAATATTAAGCCAAACACATGCACACACTAGGGTTTCTACTGGATTTCCCAATAGTTGTGGATCCATAAAATTAATTTTTCAGTGATGAGTCAACTCATATGCAAAGCCCATTCATCCAGTAAGCCCACCCAAATTGCAAATGTCACTAGGATTCAGGCTATAGATCAGGCATAGGCAAGCTTCAGCTCTCCAGGTGTTTTGGACTTCAGCTCACACAATTCCTAACAGCCTCCAGGCTGTTTTCCCATGCCTGCTATAGATAATAACACTGATGCTAATAAACCGAGTGCATAATGTAATGCTTGCTTGCACTGCGCAGCAGTCTTGGAATTTGGAGCTGGATGGGGTGTTTGGCATTCCCTTCAGAGCAGAACTACTCTTATGACATACTAAGTTACTGAATATGAAGATGTCTTGCTATGCCTTGTAAGTTATTGGCATGCTATGTGAGTTGCTTTTCTGTCTGTTTCAGCCTGCTATAATTGCTCTGTTATGCAAAGAAGGGGTGAGAAGCTCCTTGTGGCTGGGAAATTCGGTTCTGTGACCAGTTTTTTTAAAATTAAAATATCCTGTGGCACCCTTGAAAACTAGATTTTCTGCTTTGAAAACCTAGGTTTAAAACTGATAAACACTCCCAGAAATGCATTATCAGTTTCAAAACACTCCCTTCACAACTTGATGTAAAAGCAGAAGTTCTAGTTTTCAGTGGTGTGATGGATGGTGCCAACGTAGTCAGTTGTCTCTACCCAAATCATGACATTAAAGCGGCAAGAGGTATTCAGACATGGGATCTCTGCAGACATTCCTCTTTTATGGGACCTTAAACACTGCCATAGCCCTGTGGTCAGAATTCATGCCAGTGTAGTTCCCATTCTGCTACTCTATTTTTAATTACGTTAATTTTATTTCTGTAATTTACTTCTAATATCAGCACATATTAGTAAGAAACTAATAGACCACAATATGACCAAAAAAAATCTCAGAAGAGGTCCTCTCAAAGAAAGTCCAGTGGTTTGGAGTATCAGAGGTATCATTTGCAAAAGCAGTCAGTGACTGGAATATCTCAATAAACATGCCAGTCCTAGGGCCCTTCCACACAGCCATATAACCCAAAATATAAAGGCAGAAAATCCCACAATATCTGCTTTGAACTGAATTATCTGAGTCCACACTACCAATGTTCCAGTTCAAAGCAGATAATGTGGAATTTTATTCAACTGTGTGGAAAGTCGCCTGTTTGGGCTGAAAAATGCGGTATAGAAATAAAGCAAATAAATAAAGTTCTTCCTGCCTAAGAACTTTACACTTTTATTATTTTTCATTCAGGGCCCCATCCCACAGTTTCCTCCACCTTTAAGATCTGCTCTCTCAGTATGTTTCCATTCCTTAGCAATAACAATTTTTGATAAGACTAATAAAATAGATATATTTATGATGCAGATGATATTTAAATTTGCAAAGATGTATAATAATAATAGTATTCCATCATTGTTAACCTAGAGCTACACACTGTTATGTATTCACCGTCCTACATAACCATTAAGGTCTATATCAGGGGTGTCAACCCCATTTTCATTGAAGGTCATATAGCCTTCAAAGGGGCGTTGAATCCATGGATGGAGAATCCGTCTAGCTATCATTTTTTTACATAGTCATTGGTGTTCTTTAGTTTTCACCTACTTTGGTTTCCTAGATGTTATTGAATGACAACTCCCATCACTTTTGATTATATGTCCTGTGGACTGGGGAAATTGAGAATTGCAACCCAATGGCACAGGAATTTGTCTTATTATGTTCAGTATTTGTATCCTCAAATCTCTTTTAGTCATATATGAATTAAAGTTCAGTTTTGTTCATATGTTCTGAATGCTGATACTGCAATACTGAAACAATTTCATTTCATGCATTAGTTACATCAATATTTTGATGTGTAACATTCATGGGACAAGTCTTATTAACAGTTCATGTTATGACATGAACTGAGGCCATGGGTATGCATACAGATATGAGCTAATTTCCTGCATCAATCATCAGAAGTGATGGATCTTCCTTCTCCACCAGTTGTCAAGCCTTAGAAGAGGCAACTACTGTTGTTGCTGCTGCTACTCCTTACTAGACATGTGCGTGAAACTCATTATTACAGTTTCTTCTGTTTCTTTCATGTGTCCCATTTATTCAGAAGCACAAAATGGGAAGCCCGCTCTCCACACAAAACTCACCTTGACATAAAAGCCTGCTTTCGTGTGGAGCCGAAATTGCGCACTTCTTCTCTTTCTTCTCCTCCCTCCCTCGTACCCACAATGCCCTGCATTCACTCATGAGAGTCGTGGCTGGGCAGCCCCACATCCAGACCTCAGCATCAGGGTGGAAGGAATCCTCTTGTGTGTGTGGTTGGGTGTGTGACTGAAGGCACTCATCTGCAGGCACATGCTGACAGGTATGCACGTGATCTCCAGGCCTGCCTGCGCTAAACCACACACACACACACTTTTTCCAGGGAGAGTGTATGTGTGCCATGGGGTGTGCAGGCACAAACAGGTGCATGTGCATTTTCCAGGCCTGCTTGCACCCTGCCACACACACATTCTCTTTCCAGGAGTGTGGGTGTGTGGCATGGGGCATGCAGGCAGGCCTGGAAAGCTTGTGGCAGGTGCAGTGTGCCGGTGCCTGCACCTGCCACACTCTCCGAGTGGAAAGGAGGGCGGGGCAGTGATTCCTTTCACCCTGATAAAGCATACTTGCTGAGGTCTGGATGTGGGGCTGCCTGGCCATGACTCCCATGAGTGAATGTGGAGGGGAGGAGGAGGAGGAAGAGAAGAAGTGCAATTCTCACACACACACCTGCCAGTGACTGCCAGGCAGCTGAGCACCATGGGCTGATTTTTGGCCCTAAAACAAAAGAAATGAAAACTACCCTCCCAATTTCAGGAGACTTACTGAAAAAAAGATTGGGCCCCACAACAAAAGCCCGGAAACGAAATGGGACAAACTTTTACCTGAATGCACATGACTATTCCTTACCAGCACAGAGGGAATTAAGCAATTAAAATAAAGAAGAATCAATTGGTCTGTGCTTGTGGTACTATTTCAGGATGCCCTTCCCTTGGAGACCTGTTGACACTGACACTGGCTTTATTCCAGTGCCAACAAAGAACATCGGGGGTTTTTTAATTAAAGAATTTAGAACTTTTAAAAGTTCCTCTAAAATTTACATGTGCAAAGTTTTAAAAGTTATGAACTTTAAAAAGTATTCAATTATATAATATGTTTTAGTATGTTTTAATTATTTTTAATGTTTGAGATCCTAAATAGTTGAAATTCATTTTATTCTAATCAGTGGTTCTCAACCTGTGGGTCCCCAGGTGTTTTGGCCTACAACTCCCAGCCAGTTTACCAGCTATTAGGATTTCTGGGAGTTGAAGGCCAAGACATCTGGGGACCCACTGGTTGAGAACCTCTGTTAGAGATCTCATGATGTAGAGCCACTCTGAATCCCTTGGCGAGGGATTGGGCGGGGTATAAAACAAAGTAAATAAATAAACAGAGCAGGATAAAAATATTTTAATACAATAAAATAAATGAAATTGAACACATCACCTTGAGATTTCTATTTTATATTCCAGAACCAGTATGGGTATCTTCAGCATGACCTTGGGCATGTTTCAGTCTTTCAGAAGCCCAAGTGGAATAGACTGGCTCACCTCGTCGTGGCAGGCGTCCTTAAGGTAATGCTAAGATTGGTTAGGAATTTAGGAATTTATCACACCAAACAGGCAAATCACAATTACAGAAGGATGAGCATCATTGCCTTGCTACTTCATCACACTAGAAAATAATCCACTTAAAATCTAGTTTCTGCCTCCTGCAGAATTCTGGGGTTTGTAGTTTAGTGAGGCTGTCAAAGGCTCCTCCCTAAGCTACAAATCCCAGAACTCTACAAGAGGTAGCAACTGGATGTAAAGTGGATTTATTCTTTAGTGTGACGAGGCCTTTGGACTAAGTGCACAGTACTCCTTTCACTCTGCTCTGCTAGTGGGAAGCAGCCTGAAAAACACAAATTATCTCTTTATGATCTTCTGTTTTGTAAAAAATGCCTTCCAATGATTTCCTACTGGAAGAGCAAGTAGTAAACTCTCAGTTATAACAGTTATAAAACTGTCACTCTACAAAAACTTATGCTACCAATTTTGTTCTCTGTTAGTATCTAAGCACAGCAAAATCCCTTTGAAAGTCTGGTTCTGGTCAGAAAAAGGTTGGGAGGTTGCTTGCACCTTTCTATACAGGAAAGACAAGAAAGAAACATAGGGCCCTTCCAAACAGCCATAAAACCCAGAGTATCAAAGCAGCTAATCCACAATATCTTCTTTGAACTGGATTATCTGAG